GTTGGTATGCCCCCGGGATGCAAACCCGGGCCGCCAGTAGCAGAGCGCGCACACTTCACTGCTAAGCCATGGGGCCGGCCCTGAATGGGTGGTCTTTTTCTATACGTCTATCCTTATGCCAGTACCAAACTATTTTGATTACTGTAGCTTTATAGTAAGTTTTGAAACTGAGAAGTTTGCATCCCCCAACGTTATTCTTTTTCAAGATAGTTTTGGCTTTTGGAGGCCTCTTGCAATTCCGTATGAATCGAAGGATCAGCTTTTCCACTTCCGCAAAAAAGGTCACTGGAATTTCAATACGGATTGCATTCAATCTCTAGAGTGCTTTGGGTAGTATGCCATCTTAACAAAATTAAATCTTTCAATTCATGAATATAGGATGGCTTTCTATTTATTTAGGTTGTCTTTAACTTCAGGAATGTTTTATAGTTTTCAGTGTGTAAGTCTTTCACATCCTTGGTTATATTTATTCCTAAGTACTTTATTCTTTTGAATGCTATTATAAATGGAATTATTTTCTTAATTTTCTTTTGGAATCATTCATTGCTGGTGTATAGAAACACAACTGATTTCTGTCTGTTGATCTTGTATCCTGTAACTTTGCTGAATTTGTTTTATTAGCAGTAGTAATTTTTTTGTGTTTTTTTGGGGATTTTCTGTCATTTGTGAATAGAGATAGTTTTACTTCTTTGCCAATTTGGATGCCTTTATTTCTTTTTCTTGCCTGATTGCTCTGTCTTGGACTTCCAGTACCCAATGTTGAATAGCAGTGGTGAAAGTGGGCATCCTTGTCTTGTTGCTATTGGTAGGGGGAAAGCTTTGCACCTTCCACCATTGAGTATGAAGTAAGCCATGGATTTTTCATAAAAATAATTTTTCATGTTGAGGAAATTCCTTTGTAGTCCTAGTTCGCTCATTGTTTTTATCATGAAAGGGTGTTGGATTTTGTCAAATGCTTTTTCTGTGTCAGTTAAGATGATGGTGTGGGTTTTTTCCTTTGTTCTCTTAATATGGTGTACTACACTGATTTACTTTCATATGTTGAACCATTCTGACATCTCTGGGATAAATCCTACTTGGTCATGGTGTATAATCATTTTAACGTGCTGTTGGATTCAGTGTGCTCGTATTCTGTGAGGCTGCCCACAACTCTGCCTTAGCCTTTACCTCCTGCTGTGTGGAGCCCAAAGACTGGTAAGAAGTGCCATTTACTTTTAAAAGCTACAATTTGCCATCTTTTTAGTTTCTGAATTAAGTTTTTCTTGGTTGTCTGGGAAGATGTCTAACACCACAAAATGATTTCTGATAAAATCAGTTCTTCCTTAGAAGAAATTCATAGTCTTTTTTTTTTTTCCCTCTAAAGCCCCAGCAGATAGTTGTATGTCATAGCTGCACATCCTTCTAGTTGCTGTACGTGGGACATGGCCTCAGCATGGCCAGAGAAGCAGTGCGTCAGTCCGCGTCCGGGATCTGAACCCGGGCCGCCAGCAGCGGAGCGCACGCACTTAACCACCAAGCCACGGGGCCGGCCCAGAAATTCATAGTCTTAAGTTTGACAGGGAGCAGACGAGCTATCTGTTTTGTATTCTTTAATGAAGTGTGATTGTGACCTCAAGATATAATTAAAAAAACAGAAGGGTTAAAGCATCATTATGTCAAATATTCCTGATGCTACAACAGAATCTTGTATTCTTTATAGTCTCCTCTCCTCCTCAAGGAGATGGCACCATGGTGGGTGCACCTCTAACTCACAAGCAGTGACAGGAGGACTCAGACTACATACCGCTCCAATACCTCTGACTCCAGGTCAGGTGGTCACAAGCAAAGACATCTACAACCCCTAGTAATATTCAGGCTCCTGAAATATCACCTTTCGTGACACACTTGCAAGTCAGAGCTCTGTGCTTCCATGTTAAGAGGCACTAGTTATTGCTTGGCAAAGAAAATGACAATCAGATAATAAAAGTTGTAAGTTTTGTACCATCTGTACCTACCTGAAATATTCTTAGTATCACCAGCTAAGAGTATAATCACTATGCAAAACAAGATTTTACACATATAAAGATTTCAACAAAATATATAGAAAATTTATGGAAACAATGTAACAAACTTAAGTTAACCAAAAAGCTGTTATCATTCTAAACAGACGATAAGAATGTACCTTTCGAGAACCAGAGAATTCTGCTCCCCACATCTGTCCTCCATCCAACCCACTAGGAACAACACTGTCCAATAGAAATACAATGTAAGCCACATAAGCCATTTAAAATTTTCTAGTCAGCCAAACTTAAAAAGTGAAAAGAAACATATTAAATTAATTATATTTTATGTAACCCAATGCATCAAAAATTCATTTCAACATGTTATCAATATAAAAAATTATTAATATTTTGCATTCTTTTTTGTACTAAGTTTTCGAAATGTGATGTGTATTTTACACTTACAGCTTATGTCAATTCAGACTAGCCACATTACATCACTTGGCTGGCTCAATACCCAGCCACGTGTGGCTAGTGGCTACCATATTGAACAGTGCAGCTCTGACACTTTCTTTGCTTATCAGACAATCTACAAGAGTTAAAACTCACAGCTCCAATACATAATTGGTGGGAATGTAAATTAGTACACCACTTTAGAAAACTATTTGTTTCTATCTACGACAACTGAAAATGCACATACCTTATAAACCAAGAATTCTACTCCTACATGTAGGATTCTACTCCTACCCAACAGAAATTATGTATACACCAAAAGACATTTACAAGAACATTAACAGCAGCACTATTTGTAATAATAAAATGCTGGAAACTACCCAAAAGTCCCTCAATGCTAAATGGATAAATAAGTTACAGTATGTTCACACAATGAAATACCATATAAGCAATGAGAATGAACAAACCACAACTATATGCAATAATAACACAGATGACTCTCACAAACAATATTGAGCAAGAGAAGCCAGACACGAAGGAGGACATGCTTTTGACTCCATTTATTAAAGCTCCAAAAACCAGAGAAAATGCTAAAAGTCAGAGTAGTGGTCAGCCTTGAGGGGCAGGTACTGACTGAAAAGAGGTGTTGGGTGAGGTTGTTTCTTAATGTGGGCGCTGGTTATACAGATGTGTCCACTTTGTGAAAATGCATCTGCAAGCACTCATAATTTGTGTCCTTTTCTTATATATATTTGTGCCCTTACATTATACTTCAGATAAAATTTACTACAAAAACAAGACAAAATTCTGATAGCTCCAGCTGCATAGTACTCAAGGAATCTAACTGCTCCATAACTACAGTCAACATTTTTCAAAATACCTTTTGATTGACTTTGGGATGTTCCAAAAGCACTGAACTCTTAGAAAAATATCAAGGTAACAACCATACTGTTCTTGTGGCCTCCTCGCTGAGCCAGGCATGAACCTTGTTTCCAGGTCTGAGTTCTCATCACATGGACTCTGGCCACAGGCCTAAAAAGGCCGCTCAGTGAATCTGCTGCAATCTGACTTCATCACTTTCATATTTCTCTAAGCTACAAAAGAACCTTTTGGTTGTAAAAACATCAATATGGAAACAAATCTTTCCTTGACTAAATATTTTATTACCCTTTCAACATGCATGCCATACTTCTTTACTGAAATCTCTTTCCTCCTTTTTTTTCTTGTGAGGAAGAGTAGCCCTGAGCTAACACCTGTTGCCAATCCTCCTTTTTTTTTTCTTTGCTGAGGAAGATTGGCCCTGGATAACATCCATGCCCATCTTCCTCTACTTTATGTGGGATGCCTGCCACAGCGTGATTTGATGAGTGGTACATAGGTCTGCGCCTTGGATCCGAATCTGGAAACCCTGGGCTGCCAGAAGCAGAGCGCACGAGCTTAACCGCTATGCCACTGGGCCAGCCCCTTTCCTCCTTTTGAAACCACAACACAATACTGCCTACTTCCACAGACACATCTACAACTGGAGTGTGTGAACAACTCTTTCACACACTCCAGTCCTCCAATTAGGTCAACATTAACTTAAAACCTTTGATTCTTAAGCTTATGATCTAAAGTGTCTGGTGCCAGCAGAACATCCCCGAGACATGAGTAATTTGGTTTGCCCAGTTGAGACTTCACTCTTACCCCCTGGATAAGAAGCCAAAAAGCATTGGAACAGAGTTCTAACCTGTAACTCAGAAATACTATGAGATATAAAAAGCGATCCAGTTTTGCTTTGGCCAGTAAGAAGTGAATTCTATCCAAAGCCTACCTTTCTCTGCAGAGAGCATCCCTGAATCATCAAACACACATCAAGGAATCAACAAGCCTGGACTTTGCCTACTTCCACTTGTGATTTATAACAGTGATTTTGAACTTTTAATGTGCACACAAACCAGCTGGGGATCTCACTAAAATGCAGATTCTGTCTTACTATGTCTGAGGTGGGGCCCCGATTCTGATTTCAAACAAGCTCTCAAGAGACTGCTGACGCTGCTGGTCTGAGGACTCAGCTCCTCAGAGGTAAAGACCTAGGAAAGTGAGAGAACATGTAGCATGCCTTCCTTTGGCATATTTAGCCACTGGATGTTTGGTCCATTTGAGGTCAGAGTCATTACGGATAAATTCAGATTAGTGCATTTGAATACCACCCAGAGAAACACCACTACAGAAAGCAAATGTCCTGCTCCCAATAAATAAGTCTTTTAGTGGCAAAAATTTACACCAAATAAAGCTTAAAATAAAAAATAGGGATGAAGTATAAAGAAGCAGGAGAAGAACACAGAAGAGGCTCGAAATGAGAAAAGGCATTTTGAGATCAGCCCCATGTGTTCACTTGGAATGCAAGACTTGTGCAAGTGAGAGCTAATATTATTTTTAAAAAGAGACCCCCTCCAGAAAGAAAGAGGACCTAATCCCTCATTTATCACTACCATGATCTGAAGAAATATAAACAGATTCAACTTTTGAGATTCTTAAGGTAAGAAAATAAAAAAACAACAGAGAAGAACCATTATTCTGACTCACCTTATAAGGGCAAGCAAATTGTCAAGAAGTTTCAGAATCTGTTCTGTGCAGGGGTTACGGAAGACTGGATTTCCAGTGGGCATATAACCCACCACGAATCCTCCAGCTTTGGCCTCTTCTAGGTCGGTGGGCCAGCAAGTTCGTTTCACAACACCCAGGATGCTGTACACACAAAAGCTCATCTTTTAAAAAACATAAAAATGAAAGGTAAGCATAAAAGGGGAAGAAAAGACAAAAGTGCTATTAGATCTATGCAAGGTTATGGCAAAAGTGATACAGAGGCCAGAGAGAAGGAAAACAGCCCCGCCCCCATCCCTGTCCCTTCCTTTAAGGTCACATCCAAGAGAGGTTCTTTCATTGCCATCTGCAGGATGAGTGGTAGGATCTAGAACCTTCCCTTTCATGAGGATGTCCTTCCAGAGTCTGCAGTGACCCCCTCGCAGGACCCCAATTAGAAGGTGGCTTGGACATGGTTCAAAACAAAGTGTTTAGACTCCCAACATTCCATCCTGTTTTGGAGTTGACCCTGTACCCTCCAGCTCAGGCCTTGATGGCTTTTGCCCTAATCCTCACTCATGGTACTCTCAACCAACCTAATATAACTTTTGCCATAATGGAGCCAGAAACAGTGCTTATTTGAATAACAAAAAACTGAAAAATTTCAGGTTTGCAAGTTAAGCCATCATTTAGAACTTTACATGCCAGAGAGCAATGGCAGGGAGGACTCACCCTGCTGACCAAGTTCTGACCTACTTCCTCATTACACCTTCAGTCTCCAGAGCTATTCAGAGATCCTTAAAACCAAATTAATGATTTCATAGAAAAGACTGTCTGCTCTGCTGTGGGAACTAACTTAAGAATTCAAGACTAAAGAAGAAAAGAAAGGAGAAGCTTAGGGAGTGGAGACCCCCAGATTTCTCACTCATATAGGAAAAACAGAAATCTATAAGAAACTTGACAAATGATAACACGCTGCTCCTACCCGTGGCCAATGCAACCTCCCATTCCCAGGAGAGGCTTACTCACTCGTGCACGGTTTAAGCCACAGGGATCCTCCAGGCCCGGGTCACAGCTCTTCTGATCTGCACCCACATAGGCAATAAAAGCATCAACATCTGACAGCACTCTAAAGGTTGGAGGGGAAAGACAAGTTACTCCACGATTCTAAGCAGGGACGGTTTCTTCCACAGGAGCTAATAAGCTATGATTACTGGGCCCCAAAGAGCAATTGTTACAGTGAGAGGAAGTTAATCATGTTAATTGGCAGCTGTCATTTGAAGGTTCAAACTTCTCTTCCCACTTCTAAATGTTATCATCGACACTTTAAGAATCAAAAAGGGTACAAGCTTGAGAATGCTACGTAGGCACAGATGAGTGTCTGTGTGGCTCCGACTGTATGTGGCCCCAGTGGCTGTCCTCATTTCTCTACATGTGCAGGTGCTGCAACGCAGACATCACAGTAGACCTCGCTCTGTGGCCTCCTGACACATACTATCCATCTTCACTCCCTACACCTCTGTACAACACGGTGATATTTTCAGCGATTAGAACACAAGACTGCTTTCAGAGGCCTCCAGATATCACCGAGAGTGCATTACACCTTGGTATCCTTACACCCCGCCCTGGGCATAGGTCTTGAAATAGAATGGGTGCTGAAGTGCACTGAGGGGCAGGGGCAGGGCATCTCCTCCACCTGTGCATGTCTTCAGACAGCCAGAGGCTGGCCACTGGTGCCATTAGCTCCTCTAGGAACACCTTCTGACGCTCGTAGTTCTTGAACTGGTTGCTAATGAGAACCAGGGCTTCCATGAGGGCACACTTCTCCATCTGTGTCAGGAGTAGCTCATTGGAGAGGAGTTGCTTCACATGGTTATAAAGCATGTCGAAATTGGGCTGAAGATTACAAAGAAAAACGCAGATTACAAAGAAAAAAAATTTAGAGGTGGTGAAGGTCTGATTTTTGGGGAGAGGTGGCTCAAGGAAGGTGGAAAGAGGACCAAGGCATTCCCAGGAAGGTCAGGCCTATCAGACTGTCACTTAGCAATTTAGTCATAACAGTCTTCTTTTGCGAACAAGCAAGGCAGTTTAGGCAGAAGGTGGTTCTTGTCTGGAGTATTTGGGGAACTGCACTTTCCCATACTACAGCTGTGAAAACAATCTGTCTTTTTTCTACATCAGCTTTTATAGTATCTTCACAAAGATCAGTTGGTTCTATATATATATAGGGAGACAAACAGCTGCTGTGCATTCAGAGAAGAAATTTCTGGTTAATTTGTAATCTGGAGTAGTGCTAAATTTCTTACAGAAACCTTCCAAAAAAGGTTGGGGTTTGCATCTGGCTTCTCTCAAGATTAGGCACATCATTTGGCAGCAGTAGTTAAGAACATCAAATAGTACAATAAAGAGGTGTACAATGACAGGGAAAACTATTCATTTTGAGGGAATATATTTTCATTTATAACTCCACTATTAAGTAGGAGAGGAAGAAGACACCAACTCAAGAATGCTTATTCTAAGCAAAGCTCCAGCTCTTAGCTTTCCCTTTATGTGAGGTATAATTAGGGCTGGATTTTCAGAGAAACGTAACCAAACTCGACAGGTCTCAGTGGCTACTTGGCCAGTCCAGTGGCTTACCAGCACGAGCTGGGGGTAGTCACGACACATCTTGATGATGGAGGAACAGGCATGTCTCCTCACATTCCTCACTGCCCGGGTTCTGGGGGCCTGGGAAGAGACAATCAACAAGCTTGGAGCCACTTTTAATATAATTTATAGATGCTGCATAGAATCATGTAAATATCTCCTTCAGAGGCAAATTCACAGTCAGTTTTCCCAACTGTGGGAGTACAATGGAGTGACGTTTACAGTCACTATGAGTCCACATGCTGACTGTCTGCCCTAGAGTATGTCTAGTACAAACACTCTATCTTCTGACAGTCGCCTGCCTTCACTACCCCTTCTACTTATGAAAAAATCTAGACAAAGTATTAGGGATTCATACTTTTGCTCTCAAGAAGTTAGAATTTGTTGAATTCATGGTCTTACCTTACTTTCTTCAACTGTTTCAAAAGTGACAGATGAAAACAGCTAAGGGAAAGGAAGAAAAGGTTACTCATCAGTACCAAATGCATAAAGTATTTTAAATAGCAGTTATCATAGAGTTTCCAAAAATATCCCAAAAGTGTAAACAACATGGTAACAAAAGGGCTTTCAACTGGTGTTACAAAGTTTTAGATGTTCATTTTCTCAGATAACGACAAGAGGCTTGAGATCACAATTTTACCATCAAACATTTTACAAAGATAAAGGTCATAGAATCCCAGAACAATTCATGCCATCTACCAAGCACTCTCCCTTCTCCACGTTTTAAGAGTTGAGTGATCTACCCTCCCTGATTCCGTTTCGTAACTTCCCATTTCCTCTTTGACTCAATGCACTATGACTGCTGCTCTAGTCACTGTGATGGAACAACACTCTAACACAGATCCAATCGAGAACCCAGTGGACATTTTCCAATTCTTAGAGAATTTTTGTTGCGACAAATGAGTCCACCTTTTTGAAGTTCTATGGCCTTTGTGACACAACACGTTCTCCACTTCTCTGGCTCTCTCTTTTTTCTTCTTTGGCGGCTACTTCTCCTTTTTTGCCCTCCTCCCCCAGTGACGGTAAGCCCCAGGGTTCCCTGCTTGAGCTACAGGTCTAACTCTGGATACATATCTTCTTTCCTAGGGCTTCACCTCTACTCTTGGTACTTCTATGATGCTGCTGCCTTAATTTATCTCATTGTTTTCTAGAGTCTAAATCTTTAACCTCCAATAGCCAATTTACTGTGACGTGTCGCCACCTACATGTTGTACATATACTTCAAACACAGTATTCCAAAACACAACTCACTCCCTTCTCTTCCTTACTGCTATGGAATCCAGTATTCTCACTCAGGAGGTGCTCTATGACTCACCTAGTCACCTAAACTGGAAGCCCGAAAACTGTCTACACTGACTTTCCTTGCACAAATTCCCCCTCAGTAATCCGCCAGCAAGGTCTGATACCCTTCTTTAGGTATGTTTTCCATTTCTCAGTGTATATGTCTATAAATTGCAATGCCATGTAGGTACGGTATTGGTTTATGTCACTTTCTTCCCAAAGAGAGTGCTCCTAAAGGGTGAGGCTTTTCTACTAGCGTGGTGCCTGATCCACAGTTAAGTACTGAGTAAGTATTTGATAAACAAATAAATCACTGTCTGTTTACTACTTGTCTCACACTTTCAAAAACAGTTACAAAAAATAATTAGCTTAAAAATGCCAAAATAAAGTTTACAAAGGAGATGGAGTTTACCTTGGAGAAGACCTGGGGCAGGAACTCTGGTCTGTAGGTGACAAATGGAAAGAGTGCTGAGACATTAGTGAGGACACAGGACAGGATAAGGGGATCCTTGGTGTCAAAGTTCAGGACCATTTGCAATAGCTCTATTCCATCATTAACAGGAATTTCCTGTAATACAGACAGGAAAAGGAGGTTGACACGGCTGATGACCACTTTTGCTAAATTTCCTTTAGACTCTAGTTTATAAATACATAGTAGGTTGCCACATATGGTTTTATATACTACTGCTTTTTAACCTTTAAAATTCTAACCATTACCCCCATGTTATTAAAAATTTTCATAAATGATGCCACCACGTGCCATCTTAGGGTCGCAGCTTTTCCTACTACTAGAAATTGAAAATGTTTCCAGTTCTTCACTATTGTAAATAATGCTAATAGCAAAAATATGTTTGGCTACATTTTCAATTATTTCATTTGAATAACAGACTTTTGGGGATGGCTGTAATTACTGGGTCAAAAGATTGTTGCCTTTCTTCTTTACGGGCTGTGTCAATTGATTCTCCAACCATCCATTCTTATCATGTTCTCAGCAGCAGTGAGTTTATTCCCTAAACCCTTTGCTTATTTAGTAAGTAAAAAAAGATGAGTTTATTTAAATTTGCATGTCTTTATTAATGAGGTCGAATTTTTTTCATATTTATTAACCACTTTAGTTTCTCCCCTGTATGTTATCTGATCACATCTTTTGTCCATTTCTCCATTGAGTTCTAGTATTTTTCTTATCAATTTATAAAAAAATCTTATTGTGAAATATTCCAGGCATTTAAAAAGGTATAAGCAATACTTTATGACCCTCCATACAACCACTTTGAGAGGTACAATGTTACTGATACAGTGGTTGCTCTGTGCCCATACCCTCCTTTTCAGCCCTAGAGGTGGCCACTATCCCAAATTTGGTGTTCACAGATTCCTTCATTTCTGTATACTATTGCCACAAATGTACATATTCCTAATTACACAGTGTTGTGTGTTTACTTTTGTAGCTTGCTGTTTTGGGTCAACATTATATTTCAGAATCATTGTTATTCACAGTATAACCCTAGTTCATTTTCACTGCTCTATAAATATATCACAATCTATTCTATACAATCTATTGGTGGATATAAAGTTTTTTTCTTGGCTTAACATACAAGGCTTCTATGAATACTGGTGGTTTGGTACCAGGGTTTCTTCAGAGCACAGACTTAGGAGTGGAGCTGCTGGATTGTAAGGCTATGCATCTTCACCAGGATAGTGCCAAATTATTCTCCAAAGTTGTAATATTCTTTGTACTCTATAAGCAATGTTTATAACAGACACAAGCTTTCTATAATATGGATATCAATCCCATTCATATTTATTGCAAATACTGTTCAAAGTTTGCCTTTTAAAGTTTATTTTATAAGTTAAAAAAAATATGTACAGCCATTAATTTTTTTGTGATTACTTTCATTTTTTTTCAACTTAGGGACCTTTCTCCAAACAGTTAATTTTCCCTAATGCTATTTATTAAATGACCCAATCTTTCTTGATTTCTTTGGGATGCTTATATATGCTCCAGGTTGTTTCTGGCTATTTTGTTTCAATGAGCGATGTCTAATGCCAGTACCACACTGCTTTAAAATACTGTAGCTTTATATTTTACTCTCTGAGGCAAATCAATCCTCATCTTCAACATATGATCCTTTTTTCTCCAAAGCTGCTCCCTACATTAATCCATTGCTAAAGCTGCTGAAGCAAGGCTCTACCCAATGTTCTCAGATGCACACTACTGGAAACACCAGCTCAGCTAATGCCACTATGCACCAGGTGAGGAGCTTTGCCACCTTTTTAGCCAAAGAACCTCTTGGTCAAACTCTTTCACATGATAAAAGCTGAGCTGCTCTGACTGACCCTGGGGTGAGGGTGGGGATTGAGGGCAGAAACAAAGCAGTCTGCAAAACCACTGGGCTAGGTAATACTCTGCAGAGTCAGAAACTGACAGCAGCAAGTGGGAATGTAACAGGCTGAGATCTGTCACTTGCACACTCCTGGGACATATAATGTGTTAGCTTCATTAACAAGTAGGTGAATAATTTCATCACATGTATATATATTCACCAAACACTCACCTGTCCTGATTAGGAATGCTTCATTCTGACTCATTTCATTTTGGTGAAGAAAAAAAGGTTTTAGAGTCAGAGGTTTACTTTAAGTCATTAACAAGCCTAAATACTACCATCTGGGATTCTCCTGAGGAAAAAAATAATTCAGTTCTATTTGTTTTTCTCCCCACCACTTGTTCTGACTCCTACCAAATTTCTAATTGTCACCTATGCTTTGTCCCCAGCCCACATCTTTCTCCTATATACATTCCAAACTATTTTTTGTATCTTTTGACCAATTAGTATTTGGTATTATGAGCAAATATTATCATATTCAAGGTCTTAATATAAAATCCAGCCTACAAACAACTAGGCACCACTCACCTCCTAATACTGCCAGTCCTTTCACACATCTAAAAACATGTACTTGACTAACCCTGACCATTTCATTCTCTTGCCTTCAAGCAGGATTATACCCACATATGTGGATCCCTTTAAGGTGTCTAACTTAAAAAATGCCAGGAAAGGAAACAACAGGACCACTTCCCTTGATTTAAGAAAGGGCTTTCTTGATTTGCCACACTTACTCTATTAGATAAGTTCCATCTAAATCTGAAAAAAGGCTAACTTAGTAAAAAATGCCGGATCCAAGTAGGGTTTCCCATCTAGATTTTGGAATAAACTCAGGATGCCATCATTTCAAACTGAAATGAATCAAAATAAAAGCAGATGAAGTTAACGATCCTGAGATCTAATTTGTTAATATACCACTTGTAAGAAAAAGCACTATAACTCACTTACCTTCAAGGGACTTAGAAAGATTCTTTCTACAACTAACCTAGAATATACTAAGGCATAAGTATCCCAAACTGAGTGATCCAATTATTTTAATCTAATTAATGTAGTTAATATAGTATGTACCGTTATCCAATTAATTATAGCTGCATCTAATGTAACGTTATAAGAGAAGGGTGAGAGGTGCCATGAAGTATAGAAAAACAAGTACTATTTATTCAGATTATTCAGGGAAGAGGATCACTGATCAGCCAACATGAATATTCTGGTCTATTTGCCACAAACTGAAAAGGATGCTTAATGGGAAATATCTCTTAAGATTTTCCAATTCAGTGTTTCCATCACTGTCCTTACTGCAACAGTTATCCTACCTGTGGCTCACTGTACTATCAGGCTTGTCTTACTATCCCCTTAAAATGAATACTAAACAATGTAGGGGCTTAGAGACAGGGAGACCTGAGTTTCGGTCCCAGCTCTGCTATTTACTAGGTATTTGAACTTGAGTATATTATTTAACCTCTCTGAATCTCAGTTTCCTCTTCTGTAAGATGCACATCCACAGATTTTCCTCTCCCTCTGCCAGTTTTCAAAAGATCAAAATCATTATGCAATCAGCATGGGAAACAGTTACTTACTTCTTTATCTAGTGTTCGAAACATCTGGTTGATTACACTCTCCAAAAAAAAAGTCATGGCTTCCCACTGCACGAATGAAGGTGAGAAGATGGAGCAGAGGGTGCCTTCTCCAGTTCCAGCTGTAGGAGAACAGGGTTTTAAAACACACACACACACTTATCAACACTGTAGGATCACAGAAGACACAGAGAGACAGTGGGGCCTTAGAGATCACTTGGTCATTTCACGGTTGAAGTAACAGGGCAATCTAACCCCTCTCAGCCTGGGAAAAGAAAAGAACAAAAAGCAGAGACGGGTCCCTATCCTGCCTCCACCTCTAATGATGAGCTGCCTGAATTCACTATGAGCCTTGTCTGTAAAACCATTTTGAGCACTGAATGAGATTTACATGTAAACATCAAAAACAAGGCCTGGCCAATTAGAGGCATAAAAATTAATTTCTCCCATCCCCCTCCTTTATAATCTGTCTATGGGAATATACATAATTAAGATATTTGAGACCATAAAGAATCCTTCCAACAAAGAACTGATATAAGATACAAAATGCTGCTTCACATCTAGCAGCCTCACGACAATGGCAAGGGCAATGTCTACAGAACTGTGCCACCCTCCAAGGTCACAAGTATCATCAAAGTACATCACTCAAATAGCGAGGCACAGGCAAAAAGATTTAGAAATTACTTCTCTTGCTTCCATAAAGTATTCTTGTTTACTAGCTTCATCTTGGTGCAGCATATTTGGGCCTCCACAAACATTCAGTTACTAGATGCTGGGGATCTTCAATGGTCAATTGTGAATATGCAAAACTGAAGGTTAAATCCCATGAATGTCAAGTAACTAGTGTACTTAGTAATTGACCATTAATATGGAACTTTTCTAAAGCAGTCACTTACACCCTCTCCTGCTTTATTAGTCCTGCCTGTCACCCACAGCATGCATTAATAAGATGATAGACAGAAGATATGGAGTACAGAGAAGCTACCTGGCTTATGCATTAGGGTAGAGGGGGGTTACCGTGATTTTAAATAAAGTGGCATTTCCCAAAGGCTTTGAGGTGGCTGACTGATATGGGAAGTCCCTGTACTGCTGTTATGCCTCACTAACAAGACATTCTTTCTGAGTTTAGGAGTGGTGCTACGCAAGAACTTGGTCAAAAAGCTTTAAAAAGTTAAATCATGCCATTTGTTAAGATGGTGCCTGAACTGAAGTAATAAAATCAACAACAAACAACTGGTTGATTCTGTTCGAAAAGAAAAATGAAGGCAAAACTTATAGGGACGTGGGTTTACCCTAATTTAAACAGATTAAAAATTTGGTGTTTTCTGCTTTCTCTGTCTGGGCGTATAAACGAAAAGGCTCACTGCCTAGGATGAAACTGGACAGTGAGCAAAGCTATTTTTGAACACTATTAACATATTATTCTGAAGTGTGGCTCAGAGAGATTATTTCCTATGTATAGTTTTGATACAGTATTTCACTAATGTTCCGAAATAAAAAAAAACCCTTACAGTTAATGGAGCCAGTATCCACAGAAGTTGAGAGCTGATACTTTAGCCACTCTCCAGACATCTGGAAGCTAGTCTTGGGATCCAAACGACATGCTAACCTCATTACTTCTCCTTGCTGGGCCCGGGAGGCTGCCAAGAGAAAGACAGGAATCAATAACTGGCACATAATAGGTACTTAGTTAATGTTCATTCATTTATCCATCCCAGGGGGAAAATGGTCAAAGAGACTCTGTTTTGCAGACTTGTGCTATGAATATAACAAATGTTCCATAAAGCTTTGTTAACAAATCCAGAAATTTTCAAAAATAATCTCTGGAAACTGTGCTACCAGCTAGATCCTATGAGCAGTAAACTAAAAGTGGTCGCCCAGTAGCGTAGTGGTAAAGTTCGTGCATTCCGCTTCGGCGGCCCGGGGTTCCTGGGTTCAGTTCCCAGGCACAGACCTATGCACTGCTCATCAAGCCATGCTGTGGCGACACCCCATAGATAAAGTAGAGGAAGAGTGGCACAGATGTTAGCTCAGCGACAATCTTCCTCAAGCAAAACGAGGAGGATTGGCAACAGATGTTAGCTCAGGGCCAATCTCCTCCCCCAAAAAAAGTGGTTTCTCATTTCTATTGAAAGGAAATCAGGTTGGTACAGATGTAAAATGATACAGCTGCTGTGGAAAACAGTCTGGCAGTCCCTCAAAACATTAAACATGGAATTACCACATGATCCAGTAATTCCCTTCCTAGGCCTATACCCAAAAGAAATAAAAACAGATGTCCACTCAAAAACTTGTACACAAAAAGTTATCAGCATTATTCTTAATGGCCAAGAGGTGGAAACAACTCAAATAGCCCTCAACTTATGAATGGATGAATAAAATGTGGCATATTCATAAAATGAAATATTATTGACAATAAAAAGAAATGAAGTACTGATATATGCTACAACATGAATGAATTTTAAAAATTCTACTCAGTGAAAGAAGGCAGTTACAAAAGACCACAAATTGTATGATTCCATTTATATGAAATGTTCAGAATAGGCGAAATACAGAAATAGAAAGTGAATTAGTGGTTGCCCAGGCCTGGGAGGGATGAGGTTTGGGGATAACTGCTGATAAGTACAGAGTTTCTTGGGGTCACGAAAATGTCCTAAAATTGATTGTGGTGATGGCTGCATAACTCTGAAAATATGAAAGTCATTGAATTATATACTATAAATGGGCGAATTGTATGGTAAATGAATTATATTGCAATAAAGCTGTTATTAAAAGAAAAACCAGGCTACAGAAAACCCAGCACAGAATTAGGATATATATCGGTTTTTATTCTCTTTTTTAGAAGAAAGACCCACAAGGTAAGATGGTATTTAATCCTAAGTAAAAAAAAAAATCCAAGAGTGCCTTTTGTATGGTTACTGGTTTTTTAAAATTTTTTTTTTGAGGAAGATTGGCCCTGAGCTAACATCTGTTGCCAATCTTCCTCCTTTTTTCCTTTTTTCTCCCCAAAGCCCCAGGAGATAGTTGTACATCCTTTTAGTTGCTCTGCGTGGGATGCCGCCTCAGCATGGCTTGATGAGTGGTGCATAGGTCCGTGCCCAGGATCCGAACCTGCGAACCCCAGGTGACGAAACGGAGAGCACGAACTTAACCGCTACGCCACCGGCTGGCCCCTAGTTACTGTCTTTAAACATCAGTGTCCAGAGCCAGCCCCGTGGCTTGGCGGTTAAGTGCGCGCGCTCTGCTGCTGGCGGCCCGGGTTCGGATCCCAGGCGTGCACCGAGGCACCGCTTCTCCGGCCATGCTGAGGCTGCGTCCCACATACAGCAACTAGAAGGATGTGCAGCTATGACATACAACTATCTACTGGGGCTTTGGGGGAAAAAAAATAATAAAATTATAAAACAAAACAAAACAAAACATCAATGTCTAAAACAGTATGTGTGTGGTTGTGTGTCTGTGTGTGTGTGTAAGAGAGAACACTACACCTGGAATGAATGAGTATGATCCAGCACCTCTGCAATGTGAAACTAGAGATTAAACAGGCTGCTGTAGATTTGGGGCTCTTTAATATAGAACCCCAAAGATCATGCACCATGATTCATAACACTAGATGTCATTCTGAGACTGTTAGGAGAAATTTCAGGCCAATAGCACTTACAGTTGAAGAAAGCGTTGAAGTCCTCATCACTATCAAAATCAAATCGAGAGTATTCACAGCTAGGGCTGTCTGTTTTAGAAGGAAAGCCCATCTGGAAAGAGAAAGATAATCAGGGTAGGGATGAAAATGGACCTACCAAAAGAGTCTTAAACTCCAGGAGCTCAAGGACTTTTTAATTTGTTTAAGAAGAATTAAGGGTTTGCATGAGATACTTTGTGATAAGTAACTGCTTCTCGTCTACCCCAAGTCCACAATTTGCTCCCAGTTCCAATAATCCTGAGAGTAGTACAGAAGAGAAAACTATTAGATATTCTCTTCCAGGTTCCTCGTGGAGAATTAAATTCTGCAATTTGTTTAGGGTCTTTGAGTATAAAGATGTCCCAAGACAAGGTGCTAATACAGCATGCAATAAGTAAAAAAGAATTGAGAACTATTTGTCTCCTTAAATGAGAATAAGCATGGAGCTTTGTATGTTTCATTCACAAAGTATTGAAGACCATGGTAAAGAATTAGAACATGGTGTGCTAGGCGCTAGATGAATCCCTTGAGGAAATAAGAGGACCTTGAATGGGTCCCATTCTCTGATTTTTTTTTTTTTTTGCTGGGAAAGATTTGCCCTGAGCTAACATCTCTTGCCAGTCTTCCTCTCTTTTTTTTTTTCCCCTCCCCAAAGCCCCAGTACATAGCTGTATATTCTAGTTGTAAGTCCTTCCAGCTCTTCTATGTGAGCTGCTGCCACAGCATGTCTACTGACAGACGAGTGGTGTGGTTCCACACCCGGGAACCGAACCCAGGCCGCCGAAGCAGAGTGTGTCGAACTTTAACCACTAGGCCATCAGGGCTGGCTCCCATTCTCTGATTTTACAAATTAAGATTAAGCATCTGTGGGCTCCAAGAGCCCTTCGCAGATCTCAGGGAATTTATAAGCACCTCTCTACTGAGGTAGTGAGCAACCTGCTTCCACTCTCCCTCCCTTCTCATTCACCTTCCTGACTCTCACTTGACCTTCAGAAACAATCAGATATTATTTCCTCTTGGAATCCTCTTGACTCCACCCTCCTTTCTGCTTTTAACCTCTGAAAAGTAACTATCACATTGTATGGTCATGGTCACTGTTCTTGTCCTATCCCTTCTTTCTCCCTAGCACCACCAATACTTGGTAAATGAGTGCTCCAAAATATGAGAGAGTAGATATGATAATCATTATGGACTGCTTTCTTCTTGAGGAATAAGAGAATAATATGCCCAAAGAAAGGATCTTAGTGACCAAGACAGCGCTGTCAATGATGCCAGTCTAAGCCTTATTATGTGTATTCATCTACATGCCACGTGTTTAGATTCCCACAACAAACCTTGACCAAGTTAGTCATAGAAGCACGAAGATATTTTGGTATTATTGCTAATAGCAAAGGGTCACGGGATAGGATCTCATGCCGGAAGAGGGCTCCCCAAGTCATTTGAGTTGAAGAGCGTAGAAACTAAAGAGAAAAACAGAGAAAAATTTCAGTTTAAGGATTTGGATTTTATCTTAACCAGGATTATTACTTAGCCCAGCAATTATCAACTATATTTCTTCATGGAAGTAAATCTCTATAATACTCTGAACTGTCCATACTGTAGTGTAACAGTAATGACTGCTCATTATGGACCACACATTAGTAAGACAGGCTGTGGACCAGGTGCAATTCCTGGAATGTGAGCTGAACTCCACTACTTTCTCCTTTATGCAAGAAAGGATGTGGGAATCTCAGCGTGATATTACAAGGAAAATATTGAATTGGATGAAATTACTTTTATAATAACACAATTAATCAGACTTTTCTATTTAAAATATCTTTAGTGGAAAATCACCTGGGACATAACTGATATCTGCCTGAGCATTATCAGAACATTACCTGAGGGCAAAAGCTACTGACCTAGATGCTGTGATGCTTAGCTCAGAAAGAAGACTCAATAATTCTCTTAATGAAATGACACTATAGTTATTCCCTAGGGCCTTAAGAGTCACATTTTACACATGAGCCACTAATGACTTCAGGCCACAGTGCTTGATTTTGGTTTACCTAACTAAACTTTTGAGAAGTTACCTGCATAAAGTTTACCTGACTTGGATGGGTTGTGAAAGCAAGAAAGGATTCCAGGTATTTTCCAAAGTTTGCTGGTGTTTCTACATCAGAATCCACGCCCTGTAGGACAAAAAGACCACACTACATCAATGATGTTGATGGAGGGCTAGGGGGAGTGGGAGGAGAGGAGTAACAAATACAGATAACTGAAACCCTCAGATATTTCAGTTTTGAAAGGACTTTGTACTTTCTTGTAGTGTAAAGGCATCATTTCAAGGGCTAAAAAACAGGAAAGCTGCTCTATCGCCTAATCGTCATTAAAACCCATTCTGTGGTCAAATAGTAAAATGAAAAAGAGGTTTCATTTCAGAAATCACAGGAAGAAGAAATCCATATTATTTATTCACACCTGGTCTATCCACATCTCTGTGACCCAACCTATTAAATAACCACTCAATGGCATCTGTCTTCTGTCTGAAGCTCTATCCTCCCTGACCATGCAAGCCACCACAAAACGGCATGACATTAAACACAAATGTCTGTACCAATGCCTTATCTTCTAGCTTGTAAGACTGAGTATTACATTTTTCCATAAAGACAGGTATTTCCAGGTCAATCCGATGAAAGTTTTCTTTTATGATCCAATAATACATCCTTTAGATTTGGGAAAAGGGTTCTTTATTCAAATCCATGATCTAATACGACTTTAAAGGGTAATGCACTTAGCAGACTGATGTTCTACAAGTACCAAAATTCACAAGAGCAGCGTTGACTTTATGGAATTACAGATGTGGATGTTTGCTGTTGATATTTAACAAATCAACAAACTGATTTGTTAAAAGAAATTTATATCATTCAAACCCTATTAAAAGAATTTATAGAATAATATGAAATAAGCTGTAGGGCAATACCTCATCAGGCTAAAATCAATGGCATGTGTCACCCCTTATACAAATACAACTTTCTAAATGCTCTCCTCAAATGGCCCTGAAACTCTCCAGAAAGTAAGTGCTCACCAGCAATGCACACAGCTGATTGCCCAGAGCACACAAGACCTGACAGAGTCTCTTTAGGAAGACATAGTGTTTTTCTACCAAGCCTCCTCCGTCAGCAGTCCTGTAAAATGAGAAAATGGTCTGATTAATTGCACATCAAGAAAACCAAAGGGATTCCCATCAAATGGAGCTGTATGTGGTCTGTACTTCAACAATCACATTTCAGTTGATTACTAAAGTTAAAAAAAAAATACAAAAAACCACCACCAAAAAACCTTCAACCAAACATTAAAAAATTGATGAGGAATAGGGGTTCAATACAATCTCATCCCTAAAGAGACACTCTAATTTTCGGCATTATACGGTCCTTGGGTATTTTGGATAATAACATAAACTCTGAGCATGACTCGATAAAACATGCATATACTTATATGCACAAGAAGCTGCACAAAAAGACAATGGTTGATACCCAGGCAAGACTTAGATTCCTAGGAGAGCGTGTAACAATTCCTCACAGCACTGACAAAATTAAAAGGACTATAATCAAGAGAATGAGAAGACAAGCCACAGACTGGGAGAAAATATTTGCAAAAGACATCTGATAAAGGACTGCTACCCAAAATATATAAAGAACTCTTAAAACCCAACAATAAGAAAACAACCTGATTGAAAAATGGGCCAAAGACCTTAGCAGACATCTCACCAAAGAAGATACACAGATAGCAAATAAATATATGAAAAGATGCTCCACATCATATGTCATCAAGGAATTACAAATTAAAATAATGAGATACCACTACACACCTATTAGAGTGGCCAAAATCCAGAACACTGACAACACCAAATGCCATCAAGGATGTGGAGCAAAGGAACTCTCCTTCATTGCTGGTCAGAATGCAAAGTGGTACAACCACTTTGGAAGACAGTTTGACAGTTTCTTACAAAATTAAGCATACTCTTACTATATAATCCAGCCATCGTGCTTCTTGGTATTTACCCAAAGAAGCTGAAAACAAGTACAAGTTCACACAAAAACCTGCTTGTTTATAGCATGTTAAACCTGGATGTTTACAGCAGCTTTCCTCATAATTGCCAAAACCTGGAAGCAACCAAGATGTCCTTTGGTAGGTGAATGGATAAATAAACTCTGATACATCCAGACAATGGAATATTATTCAGTGCTAAAAAGAAATGAGCTATCAAGGCATGAAAAACAGGGAGGGACCATAAATGCATATTACTAAGGGAAAGAAGTCAATCTGAAAAGGCTACGTACTATTTGATTCAACTACATGACATTCTGGAAAAGGCAAAATTATGGAGAAAGTTAAAGGACCAGTTGTTGCCAGGGGTTGGGGTGGGGGAGGAGGGATGAATAAGCACAGTACAGAGGATTTTTAGGGCAGTGAAAATACTCTGTATGATTCTATAATGATGGATACATATTATTACACATTTGTTGAAACTCATAGAATGTACAATACCAAGAGTAAACTACGGACTTCGGATGATTACTTTTCAATGTAGGTTCATCAGTTGTAACAAATTTACCATTCTGGCGGGGGACGTTGATAATGGGGGAGGCTATGCATTTGTGGGGGCCTGGGGTATACAGAAAATCTCTGTACCTTTCCCTGAATTTTGCTGTGAACCTAAAACTGCTCTAAAAAAAAAAGTCAAAAAAAAAAAGACTAATAAAAACATAACTTTGTGTCTCATTTTTCCGAGTCATTTAGTTTAGCTCTGTAATCCCTTATCTGCTATTTTAGAATCCAAAAAGCTCTTTAAATTAAAAAATTTTTATAACTTATTTGGCAGCAAAACCTGACCTGATATGATGTAGGACTATTCACACTAACAGGAATTAATAATGACAAGTGTGGACAGCAGCCTTATTAGCTGTGTTCTGGAGGCAGTAGAGAATAATGTAAAAAGCATGGGCCTCAGGGTGAGCAAGACCTAGGCTTTAGTGATGGCGAAAGGCAGGATGGCATTACGGCTTCCAGTGCAGGTTCTAGAATCTGACTGCCTAGGTTTGAATCATAGCTTTACTAACCAGTACCAGTAGCACAAATGGCAATGGGACACCTCAGCGTGAATGTCCTGGTCTCTCTGGAACTAAGAAATGGGCCTTGAAAGAGCAACTACAGTAGCCACCCAAAAGTCATGTTATTAATTTAATTAACAGAGCCCCTTAAAAACAGAGCTGTAGTTTCCATAGGAAAGAAAGCCATCATAAAAGCTGTGTTGGAATGGACAGTAAGAGATTTTAAGTAATACATATGTATCTCACATCTTTTCATTTGTCCTCGGAACCAAGAGTAAGTGAAGAGTATTGAAAAGAGGGTGTTGCGACAGCTTCAACTATTTGTAATACACAGTTCTACCTGACCCCCTGGTACAAAACACATATCAGAAAAGGCTTTAATAATTTCCAGAGCAATTAGAAGAAAATAAGCAGAAGCCATTATTTCAGAACATAGAATGTGTTTAAAGGTTTTATGCACACATTTCTCAGTGAACACAGTATTCCTGCTGCTTCCAAGAGCCTCAGCACTCCAAGCATTGATTACTTTGACAAGGAAAGCAGGGAGGAGAGTCTGGAGTTCTGCAATCAAGGCAGGCCCTGGGACAGACTCTGGTCCAGCAGAACAGTCTTCTCAGGCCTAATCACCAAGGCTACTAGGAGGCTTAAGGATCATCAGAAGCAGACAAAGAGAATCAAGGAGATGAGCTTTCTGGGGAAAATGGGGAAAACTGTGAAAGTGAGTGGGTGCTGTGTGTCAACGGGCACATCTTATTTCCACATAAAGTCTTCAGAAAGGTTAAAAAGTCCCTTTAAGGGCCGGCCCCGTGGCTTAACGGTTAAGCGCGCGCGCTCCAATGCTGGCACCCTGGGTTCGGATCCCGGGCGCGCAGTGACGCGCCGCTTCTCTGGCCATGCTGAAGCCGAGTCCCACATACAGCAACTAGAAGGATGTGCAGCCATGGCATACAACTATCTACTGGGGCCTTGGGGGGAAAAATAAATAAAAAAAATCTAAAAAAAAAAAAAAAAAAAAAAGTCCCTTTAAGACTGCCTGATTTTCCTATTAAAAACACTGTCAATTGACTGCCAACATTCAGATAGGAACTTTAGATATATCCAAATAAGATATAAAAACGACAAAGAAATTAGAAAATACAGAGAAAAGCAGACACTCACTGTGCAGCAGAGAGTATATAATGCATGGCAACATCTCCAAATAAGACCATCAAGGGCTTCCGGTCTTCCAACTTGCCCTAGACCCAATTTTGGGGAAACACAGGTAACACAAACTATATTATTAAAAGCCTCCAAGTACTAACATCTCTTATACCTACACAATCAAACATACTGACTTCATAATTTCTCACATAGCCCCGGAGCTGACTGAACACTAGAAAAAAGCCAACTCTTTAAAACCAAATCTGGATATGACTTATATTTTTTAAATGTATTGGGCAATAACGCTGATAGGAAAGCAAAGTAAATTACATCTGAAGATAACATTCCTATGGAGAAAAGAGTCATGGTCCCATTTGTTAGCCAAGACAGATATAAAGCTAGTGTCACCACCATCTAAGATTCTCTGACATAACACTAAGTGAGTTTTAAACTTTAACATCACTTTTATCTCATATCTTAACTGTAAAGTGCCAAGATTCATAGCTGTTTCAAGAACCAAGTAGCCTGACAAATCTCTGTATATTCTGCCAATGGATCCCTAGAATACTGGCAAACTACTGTCCAAAGGAGTTGGAGGCAGATAATTAAGTTGGCATCAAGTAAAAAAAAAACTCCAAACCTTTAAATGTCTTTTTGCTACAACACGCAATTAAACAAACATACACACCCTTCAGAGAATCCGAGGATAAAAGTCAGTTTGAAGTGGTAACTTACTTTTCTGCTGACTGCAATGAGAAGACACTCAGCTGCTCCCAACTGAAGTTCCTGCTCGTTCAGAAGCAGGCACAGCATCTCTAGCAGTTTACAGTTTTCAGCAGTAATATGACTCATGGACACCCAGTCAATGTAGCCTGCTAGAGTATTCAGTGCTGCCACTCCTACTCGACAGTGTGCTTGGGCCTGCATGAAAAGAAATTATCTTTGACCATTAAGTCCTCACTAACAGACAAGGAAGCTGTGGTTATACCTGAGCTGCTTCTATTTTCTAATTCTAAAAAGAAAATGATTTTTAAGAAAATGTACTCATGGAACAGTCACTGATAGGGAACTCGAAAGTTTTCTTCTGATACACAATCACTTTTCAAACGATGGCATTTTCAATGTCCATCCATAAGACCATACTGGCATGTGTGGCAATTTTATCTCCTTCAAGAAATCTCAAATATTATAATTTTAACTCCCTTCCACCAGAGCTCAGTGATCAAATAAATCAAGGCTGCGGTCACCCTCCACTAGGTGTATGCATCTCTGTACCTGAAAGCCTCAAAGAAGTCTCCTTCCAACTCCACAAAGAGCTCTTACCTTTAACTCCTGAGAATTATCTGTCTTCTGAAAGAAAAGAAGTATAAGGATCCAGTGTTTTTAATGAGGAAAAGGCTATGTAATAACTTTCCACCCCCATAACCAAGGCCTTGAATAATGATTTTCAAATACAGACTCAACTTTTAATCTTGGAAAAGAAAACAACTTGACTAAGAACACATAAGTGATATGCTCCCTAAGAAGGACAGGTTATTTTAATCTTAGCAAAATGACAAAAAGTTAACAGAGCTAACACAAATTTATTAGAACATTAAGATCCACAAAGACAGTTTCAAAGGACACAGTTTACAAAGAAATACAACTAACAGATGATCAATGAATACGGCTCAACATTGCTAATGAGGAAAGAAATATAGTTTAAAACAAAGTAGTGGCATTTTTTCCATATTAAAATAAAGACAAATTATAACTAGCAAAGGTACACTGAAATGATGTAATGTTAATGGAAAAAAGCAAGAAACAAAATTAAATGAATACAATTTATGACCATGTATGTATGGACATAACTATAGGAAAACCATGTACACAAAAATATTAGATGCTAAATAGATGAAAATAATATCTGTTCAGTAAATATATAATTATCACTTATTTTTACCCTTATATTTCAACTTCCATAAAAATATTACACAACGCTTATAATTTACAAGTGTATAAAATTAATATTTTCCCAGCAACTTGTGAAATTAAAATTAAGAATAACTCCTGAAGACAGTTAAAGGAGAATACAAGCAAGAATAACAACTTCTGAAGTATCTGAAAACTGACCACCATTAGGATCATAAAAGATTTATTTTACAATTCCTTCCCTCAATTTTCAAAAAATATTTTTTTAATAAAGAACAAGTATTAATGGTGACAGATGGTAACTAGACATATCATGGTGATCACTTCATAATGTACAAAAATATCAAATCACTATGTTGTACACCTGAAACTAATATATTGTATGTCAATTATATTTCAATTGAAAAAAAAAAAAAGAACAAGTATTAAGCCTTCATCATCAGTGATCAAGCAGAGATGTTAATGGGGCAGAGATGAGTAGAACCTCTCACCAGCATCTACTGATGCTGCCCAAGAAGGAAAAGGGATCCAAGTGACAACAGCCAAGTCCAGCCTTTACCCTCCACTCCAACAAATCTTCCTTCCGATTTGGATCCTCCATGCCCCCTGGGACCAGTGCAGGAGCCAGGTGATGGGACAGGGAGAGTGAGCCTACTCAGCCCACAGTTGTTTACCATTCAACCTAGGCCCCAACTGGGAGAGTGAAGGGATGGAAGCAGAGAAGGAACTATGAGCAAACTGAGAAGTTCCAGGTACAAAAGATGGCTTTGGTCTGCTCTGGTCCTGGGCACAAGTGGTATGGTAGCCTAGTTTAAGAGATGGAGAGAACTGAAACTAAGGCTAAAGAAAAACACCACAGTGGATGTGTCTCCAACCCGTGTCAGACCATCGCCAATCAGCCCTGCTCTGGCACACTGGCTAGATTTCTACAGCATCTAAGTATTCGTACTTTGTTCTTCTTCTCCTAGGGGAAAATGAAAAGAACAGCTCCTTCACCCTCAACACACATAGGATTTTAAATGCAAATATTTTCTTTTGAAAAATGTTGGGGAGATATTTGTGGGGAAAGAGTCCATTCTAGTAAAAACAATGGGGTTTGAATTCCACTGCAACCATTTATTAGGAGATCTTTAATAATACTCTTGGGGGTGGGGGGAATACTCTCTGAACCCTGGTTTCCTCATTTGTAAAATGTAGGTGATACCTTCTGACTCTTAGAGTTGTTCTGAGGATTAAATAACATATAAAGTGTCAACAAGTGTATGGCGTATTAGGTACTCACTGTGAGTTCCTCCCCACTCTAACAGCTCATAGTACCCTCTCATCATCTGTGTCAGTTATCTATCCCTTCTCTGAAAACAGACCAATGAAGCTGCCAGGGGCATAAAAATAACTAATTTTAATTAATTCTGTTTTGTGAAATAAGCACATATAAGAATTCTAGATCAGGGTTTTTCAACCTCAGTACTACTGATGTTTTGGGTTGGATAATTCTTCATTGTGGGGGACTGCTCTGTGCATTATAGAAAGATTAGCAGCATCCCTGGCCTCTACCCACTAGATGCCAGTAGCAACCCTTGGTTGTGACAACCTAGGGGGCAAAATCACCCCCTGTTGAGAACCAGTGTACTAGACTAACTTTCACACTGCCTTCCTCTGAAGGCTCTCTGCTAAAAATGACAATGTTTGGAGAGACAGTATCTGGCTTGCCCTTGTCTGCAGAAGAAATACTTCATCAGGAAGAATAAAATATCTGGCATATGTAGTCAAGATTAATAAGACTTGCAGTTTCCTCTGCAAAAGGGACCAGGACCAAATGGGACATCAGAATTTAACAGGGATACTGCTCCGATCTATCAGAAATCTGGGCTTTCAAATATTAAGAATTAACCTTCACTTTTAAAACATTTTAAGAATTTTTTTTATTATAAAAGGAATTATTTTTTCTAGTAGATGTGGAAACTCACTGAACTGAGTTTTTCAGAAAATTAGTTCAGTTTTTCCTGTCATCTGTTTCTTTTTTGCTTATAAAATGGCCTTTTGTTTTGCTGAACTCAACTCCCTACTTCTTTGCTAAAGGATTATTTTAACTTTAAAAAACAAACAAAAAAACCACTCATATTAGAAAATAGGACTTTGGGAGGCGAGGAATCCCTTACCACTTGCCGGTACTTGTTTACATTTTCTTGAAGTGTGTTAAGTAGAAAACTGAAGATCCTTTCCATGTTCTGGGTTAATGTTTGCTGGATATCCCTTCTTCTTTGAGGGGGTAGTGTCTGAAAGGTCACTACGTCCTCTGCCAGTCGCAAAAGAATGAACATGACTAATTCTGTCTGTGTTTCCTATATCAATAGAAATAAGCTAGTTAAACTAAAACATCTTTTTCATTATAGGTATGCCCAAAGGCTCTTTTCTGTTGACAAAACAAAGAAACCCCCAAAGAGCCAAAAAAAACCAAACTGAATTGATACAGCTGTGTTTCATACCCCTTGTTTGGAGAGAGTGTCCAATTCTATTAGCATGTCAGGCCAGTGCTGTGGCCACTCCCGCTTGATCATTTCTACTACAATTCGAGACAGGACGTCTTTAATATGGTTCTCCTCTTCCAAAATATTCAGTGTTCCCTGAAAAAGAACAAGAGATAAGTCTGAAAGACTGCATTCAAGGTAAAAACCTGGGCTGTAAAAGTGTACAAAACTCATCAGCAGGCCTGCTTTGAAACTAACCAAAATAAACAAACCTGTTCTCCATGTCTGAGTCACTTGTCCTGCATTCTCACTAATCATTCTGCCCACTTAAAGCTTAAGGGAGGGTTGCATCAGCTAATAAAATGGCTGTCACACAGAGCAAGGAGGACATCACTGCTCTCCTTTACAAACCGAAGAGACTCTCATATTGTTTCATTTTGTAAGAGGGTCAGGGGAGAAGTATAGAAATAAGGAGTACATGGAGAGGCTGATAAAATGAGAGTTACGAGAAGCAACTGAAAACTTTACCAACAGTTCTACTATTAGAAGATACAGAAAGACTATTACTGGGACTCTCTTCTGAATTTTGATATCAAGATTAATAAATTATGACTTCTATCAAGTTTCCCCAGAACTAGCAAAATACAAATCCTAGCTAGCTATGTTAATTAATAATTTTAAAGGGATTTTTTTTTTTTTTCCAATAAAGGCACTAGACTTTGGGGATGAAAAGGGGTGGGAATTCCACTTTTCTTGCCCTTTGTAAAATAGAAAAAAAAGGCTGTGGATTTTAAACATGTTTAAAGTCATATTATAACTCCTGAAACAAATTCATTCTGCAATTTTTTATTGCTAGTATCATAGTTCATTTTGGAATAAAAGGAAACAAACAGCAAAGTGCCATCTAATTTAGATCTAAGAATCTTATTCATTTGCTGAACAAGTTTAATCTCCTCTGCCCTATCTTCATACTTTTAAAAACAGAAGTCAACACATAAGGGATTAATTAAACCTAGTAAGACAAATGTGATGAATTATGATTTCTAGTGATGGTGGTTCTTTTTACCTTGAAGGTTAACATTTAATATTATACAAAGCATGCTGTTTGACCTTTGTAGAATCAGTGAATTTTTACACAAATGCTACACTGAAGAAGTCACACCTTGTCTAAACTACCTTGGAAACACAAGTCTTCCAATCAACCATTCCTTACATTTGCAATCAGCTCCATGACACTATTCTTCAGATAGACCTTCTCCAACCGAGACATGCTGTTCCACCGAAACCTGGTCAAAATGCATAAAGTCAACAGAACCACATTAGAAGTCTTCTCTTCATAAGAGACTAGCTTCGATTCCTGTGTTAGGTTATGCTGGTGATTTCATTAAGAAATTATACTTTTGACTTTGTACCCTTCGAAGAATGGACAAAACCAGTCCACATTTAACCAAAATGCTAAAATAACAGAAAAATTCTTGGGAAAGAGTTTTATATAGACAGTGGTCTATTAACTGGAATCCACACAAGATTTGTGCACAGATTAGCTCTTCCCCTTGATTTTACTGACAAACTAAAATCAAATACATCTGGGACAACTGCAACAATGTAGTTGCTTTTTGGAAAATACCATCTTGATACCACTAACTCCCTTTCAGGCTGGCTTACAAGGTAATGGCACAATTCCAGAAAAACTGTGGCGAAGTCTTAAAAGCTGATTCTTCTGATAGGCACTGGGCATAGGAGACTCAAGTCAGGAAGGGTTTTCAGTTATTCTCATATAAGCCTCCTTTGGATTTGCCCTTCAGAGAAGGCACACACTCAAACTTAAAAAAAAAAAACTTAAAGGCACAGTGATTAATCAGAGATTTATTTACCTAAACATTGCATTATTCTAATAACACTTTGAGTTGGCTGGTATACAGTAAGAGCTCAATAAAAGCTGGCTGAATAACTATCAGCTAATATTTGTAGAATGCTTAGTATTAGTACCACTCACTTTACATGGATGAAGAAACTGCAGAAGAGAAAGGTTAAATGCTGAATGAGAGCTCCCAAGAGGCTGTACTAACCTCTCGGGGACCATTCCTTTCTTCTTGGGGACTGCTCTTTTCTATTAACCCAAAGAGTATCTCTATGAGTTACATAAGAAACAAAGATTTGCTCTCTCACAGACTTCGGTGGTAATATCCAAAAGCTCCTTACTTGACAACATGTTCCAGGATCTGAAGGCCAAAATGTCTGACGATGGCAATTTGTGTTTTCTCAGCCAACCTCAAGCCACAGGGGACACAGATAGGGCACTTTTCTTTAAACTCCTCACAAAACTGAAAGAAGAAAAGTTAGCATTTCTCCTAGGAGCCAAGACAGTGGGGACTAAAAAATCTTCATCTTAAGAAACTCTAACCTGAACTATATATAAATATATATATTTTTTTTTTCTGAGGAAGATTCACCCTGAGCTAACATCCACGCCAATCTTCCTCTATTTTTTAGTATGTGGGCTGCCAGCACAGCATGGCTGCTCACAGAGCGGTATAGGTCTGCACCCAGGAACTGAACCTGGGCCACTGAAACAGAGGACACTGAACTGAACCACTCGGCCACTGGGGCGGGCCCTGAGCTTTATTTTTAAGTTGCAAAATCTAGATCAATATTATATGAGTAAAGAACCAATAAACATTCCTTTCCTTTGGATAGTTCCAGATTTTCCATGCTATGTCCAACTAATGTTGAAAAACATTCTTGACCTAAATGAGTAAAAAATTATTTGTTAGATGTGATACACCTGCGAAGTACATAGGGGTGACATGACAATTCCTAGCATTTGCTTTAAAAACCTTTGGTGGAGGGGAAGAGATAAAGCAAATGTGGCGAAATCTTTACAACTGCTGAGTTTAGGGGATAGGTATATACAAGGTCACTGTAGTATTCTACTTTTGTGTCTATTTTCAGTATTTCATAGCAAAAAACAAACTAATAGAACCCAATTGTTTCTGATTCCAAATCCTGTGGCATACATCTAAATACCGAAACGTTTCCTCCAAGTGATGCTCACTTTACTTTATGAAGTTACATCAGTTAAAACAGGCATAGCACAAGTGTTTTTTCCGAGTAGTCATTTCTCAAAGCCCACATACAGAGTTTGATACGGGAATAAGTTTGCACTCTACTAGTATCCCCATTTGTATTAGCATTCCCAAATTGCAACACGAGAGTCAGTCCCAGGAGCTGAGCATCCGGGACTCAAGAAAACTACTTTCAGGAAACCAAAGTGCCCTTGTTAAAATGCAAAGTAAGTGGTGGAAGTTCATCTTTGCGAAAAATAGCCTAAGAATAACCCAGACTAAAAAACATGGGGGAAGGGGGTGTGACAGTTAGCCCAGAGATACCCAAGATACAGAAAAGGGTTGGCGAGAAGTGTAAGGATGCAAGTAAAGAGGTGCTAGGGGGGCTGGAGCTCGATTAGGACGGGTCAGGAGAGTGGGTGAGCAAGGAAACGTTTAGCGCAGAGGAGATCATAAAGAATGTAGCTGGTGTTGGGGACGGGATGGGCACGTGTGCCACGGGAAGGCGAGGGGACGCGGGGATGCGGGGCTTGAGGGAATGAAATGGGTGCAGCCGGCTCTGGAGAGGGTCGTGGTGCGGACAAAAGTGAACGGAAGTGAGGAAGGGGGAGGAGAGGGCAGTGGGAAGTGATCGGGAGATGAGAAGCAGCTAGGGATCGGAGTGTCCCGGGAGAAGGGGAGGCGCGGCGAGCAGAGAAGGCGGGGATGGGAAGAGGCGCGGAGGGCGGCGAGGCGGAGGCCCCCCGGGGTTGGGGAGGGAGGTCCAGAGGCCTCGTGGCCCGGAGACGACCAGGGTTATGGGCGGCGCCGGGACGCCTGGGGCTGGGGGAGGGTCTCGGGGCAGGCCCAGGTCGCCAGACCCCAGCTACCTTGAGGGCTTCCAGCCGGTAGCGCTGGGTGGAGCTGGGGTCCATCATGACCGTCACCGCTTTCACGAGCTGCTCGCACAGCGCGTTCACTTGATCCATCGCCATGGCTAGTGACTTGTGCCGCAAGCGCCCACCACAGCCGTCCCAGGAGCACGAGGGACGCACGGCTCCCTTGGCGGGACCCACGCTGGTACCGGGCCGCGGCGGGCTGGGGGGTGGGGAGCGGGAGGAGGAGCGTGAGCGGCAGAAGCTCCACGGGGAAGGAGCCGGCGCTGCGCACGCGCCCGACTCGCCACTGCGCACGCGCCCGACTCGCCACTGCGCACGCGCCCGACTCGCCACTGCGCACGCGCCCGCGGAAGTGGAGGCTCTCTGGTACGGTTACTCCTCGGTGGGCGGGGCGGGAGACGGAAGGGCCGCGGTGCGCAGGCGCGTCAACGGCCCTTCGCGGCGCGCGCGCAGTTCGATCCCTGTCAGGCGGGCTGGCAGCTGGGTGCCCCGCCCTGGGCTGGACCCACCCGGCTGTGCGGCGGCTGCCCGAGCACTGATCCTTTGCGACCCTTGGTCCGTTCCTCCGTCGTTACGGGGAATAAATCTCACTCGAAACCAGAAACTGGCCCGCTCCTGGAAAGGGGTCAGATATTGCAGATCCCTTCGTCTTCCAGTGGACCCCCAGCCCATCATCGGCGGCGTCCGCGGTTGGCAGTTTTGCCCGGCGTTCGTCACCTTGGTAAGAGAATTTAGAACCGTTCGGTATCACTGTTTTCAGACTTTGCATGTTGCCTTGGCTGTTGGTTTTATGATATAGCAGTGGCCAGTGACAACGTTGGGCCGGAATTACATGAATTAGAAATACATGCTCACTGAGAGATAAGCCCTGGTATTATCCTCTAAGAGCATTTTTCTTGTGGAAACTATATTTTTTCCGTAGCTCTTCACTTGTACTGCTTTTCCTTGGATGTGTTATTACCTGATCAGCACCAAACTTGTTTTGTACAGATTGGTATAAATGGCGATATTTAAAGATGAAGCCGGTCCGGTGGCACAGCGGTTAAGTTCGCGCGCTCCACTTCCGCGGCCCGGAGTTCCCAGGTTCCGATCCCGGGCGTGGCCCGACGCATTGCTTGTCAGGCCATGATGTGGCGGCGTCCCACATATAAAGTAGAGGAAGATGGGCACGGATGTTAGCCCAGGGCCAATCTTCCTCAGCAAAAAGAGGAGGATTGGCATCAGGTGTTTGCTCAGGGCTAATCTTCCACACAAAAAAATAAAGATCAATTATTGAAGGTTTGTGCAGTTTTGATCACTTGAAATGCTGTATATAAGACTTCAAAGTAGTGTAATCCTTCCGAAAGGAGGGTTTTTGCAGAGAGTGTTTCATTTTCCAGCAAGCTCTTGCTTTAAAAAGCTCTTGCTTTCTCCAGCAAAATACCTAAACTGAAAACTTCAACAGCCTTATTATCTGTTAAAGTCTGCATATGGGTTTTTGTGTTTGTATATTCAGTAAAATGTTCGCTGGACTTAAATCACTGCTTCCTATTCATACTCCACGTCTGCTATTTGTATCTAATATGGAACTTACCTGGGTTTTTTGTGAAAATGCACTTATTATTTTTATTCTGGCATTATGTATTCCAGTACCACACAAAAGCCACTGCAAAGTAAAGTGATTTCTGACATGTTATGGTTTTAACTTATAAATGTTTAAAGTATCACATTCTGCCTGTTTTAGGTGAGTGGAATTTATAAGGAATCAATGCTTTGACTACTCTGATTTTTTTAATTTATTGTTTTCTTTCCACTAATCTTCCAACTTGTAGTTGCATGCCACTTTTTTCAAGGTGAATGGTAGTTTTTGACACTTTTTTAGAATACAGTTGAGTACTTACTCAACTGTATAACCTGTGTTTCTCGTATTTAAATCATGAATTACTGGTGTTTCCATAAGTATCTTATTTACTTTAGGTCAGTGGTTCCCAATCTGTACTGCATATTAAAACTGCCTAGAGATCTTTTAAAAATCACAGTGCCCAGGTCACACCCATACCAATTAAATTAGGATGTCTGGTGGTAGAAGCCAGATATCAATATTATTTAAATGTTACTAGGTGATTCCAATTTGGAGCAAAGTTTGGGAGCCACTGCTTTAGTTTACATTCCTTCTTTCAGATCTCTAACAATGTTAAATGATAACATTGGTCTCTATCCACTGTCAAGTATGTAAGGTTTGTTCTTGCAGTCTACCATCCATACCTTTATGTATGTCTACCCATGAATAGTGTGTAAGTATTGTTTTCTTTTATCTTGAAAAATTGATGTGAATGGGTAGAAAATCACCATTAGAAGAACACTATAAAGTAATTGTTATAGGTAAGATCCACTGATGGGTGCTTAGTGGTTGAAAGTTTGAGGAGAAACAGGATATTTGCATAGTCTCAAAATATCTCCCCTAAGATATCAGTTACAAAAGGAAAAGTAGTAACTTTACAGTGAGAAACCTGGCAAACGCTATCTCAACGAAATGATCATGGTTAACATCACCAGTAATAAGACATATTGACATCTTGTACCTCCCAATGTGATACACTGAGAGGAGCACATCACTTTCATAATATTCTTGCTGAAAATGCGTAACTTCAATCTAATCAAGAGAAAACATCAGACAAACCTAAATTGAGATACAGTCTCAAAGTAACTGACTAGTTCTCTTCAAAAGCGTCAAGGTCATGAAAAACAAGGGAAGACTGAGGAAGTGTCACAGATTGGAGACCACTAAGGAGACTTGATGACTAAGATTGGATCCTAGATTGGATCCTGAAACAGAAAAAAGACATTAGTGGAATAACCGGTGAAATTCAAGCAAAGTATGTAGTTGAATATTATACCAATATTCATTTTTGTTTGTTTTTATTTATTTTTTGTTGTTGTTTATTGCGGTAACATTGGTTTGTAACATTGGTTTATAACATTGTATAAATTTCAGGTGTACATCATTATACTTCTGTTTCTGCATGGATTACATCATGTTCTCATGTTCACCACCCAATATTCATTTTTTAGTTTTGATAATTGTGCTATATAAAATGTTAACATTAGGGGAAACTGGGTGTAGGAGAACCCTACTGTTTTTGCAACTTTTCTATAAGTCTAAAATTATTTCAAAATAAAAACTTAAAAAAATTCACATGAATGCTATGAGGTTATATAACATTTTCTGCTTCTCTTTTCTCTGAACTTATACTTGAGATTTGTCTATCAACTAGATTAACTGTTGGGTTTATCCCTCTATTGACGTGCATTGTGGTTTTAATTTGCATTTCCTATGACTAATGATGTTGAGCCCATTTTTGTGTGCTTTTTGACTATTTGTATATCTTCTTTTGTGAAGTGTTCAATTCTTTTGCGGGATGGGTATTTTTAAAGCTTTTAATACTTATTACCTTCCTAAAATTGTACCAATTAATTATTCTCCTGCAAGCAATATATGCAAATACCTATTTCATTCTTATTAGTTTCCATGCTCCATATGCTCATGGTAACTCAACAATGGAAGAATGGAGATAAAATTTTCCTTGGCACTTTGGATTAGGTATCCTTTCTGACTGTCCATAAAGTCTTAAAATACTGTCTTACAGAAAAATGGCTGATGGACAGGACCGGGTGGTTGTTCTAGTGGACATGGACTGTTTTTTTGTTCAAGTGGAGCAGCGGCAAAATCCTCATTTGAGGAATAAACCTTGTGCAGTCGTACAGTACAAAACATGGAAGGGTGGTGGGTATGTATCTTAGTTATTGTTGTAACTGTCAACTACTATTTTAATTCTGTAAGACTACAATGGCACTATGCTAGGTCCTATTTTTGAGATTTCTGAACTGCCGTGTTTGAGATCAAATAGTGGCATCTGTGACCAAAGTTTCTACTATTATGTTTATAGGCTATTCATGTTAAATTTTAATTATTTTTGATTGTGATCATGTAATATTTTTCTGTTTCCCTTTTTTCCTAACCTTAGAATAATTGCAGTGAGTTATGAAGCTCGTGCATTTGGGGTCGCTAGAAGCATGTGGGCAGATGATGCTAAGAAGTTATGTCCAAATCTTCTACTGGCAGAAGTTCGTCAGACACGTGGGAAAGCTGACCTCACCAAGTAAGAAGAAAAGATTGTTTAAGGAGAATGGGAGAGTTGGAAATAATATTCCATGAGGCTAGGAACTGATGTCTCAAATTTGTTTTGTATAAATAACATCTGAAAAAGTTCCCTTTGGTCAGCCAGCTTTTCTGTGTGAAATGAAAACAGATTTTGATATTGTGTTGCAGGAGAAGGTCTGAGTCATCATAATCTATAACAATTGCTGCCCTTAACACCCTTTCAGTTCCTTAATTATTTAAAAATTTGTTGTTATGATTAAAACTTACTACCAATTCCCAGGTTCTCAGGCCAAAAATCTGAAGTGTTTGAATAAGTTGTGAAACTAAGAGTTTTTCCAGAGAAGGCTGAGTCAAACTGACATTCTAGTACGATATCTAGAATTACTTGCCAGAACTGAACAATCTCAAAGGAGATTACCTTCTCTGTTTTTGAACTGAGCTGTCTCTCCCCAAATTTTGGAAGGTTAGCCCTGGAATTGGAGACTTGTATAGGCATAGCCAAGTTAGAGGTAGGTACAAGCCCCAGCCATTATAATAATTCTAATAGCTAGTATGTATTGAGCATATGTCATATGCAAGGTACTGTGTTAAGCTCTCCATAGGCAATATCTCTTAAATCTCACATTGTTATAAGGTAGGTTCTAGTATTAATTACCCCTCCCCTGTGCCACCCCCCAACTCCACCCCCACCCCATCCCCCACCGACACACACACGCACACAGATGAGGAAACAAGTTTAGAGAGGTTAAATAATTTAAGTTCACACAGCTAGAAAGAAGAAGACTGGGGATTCGATTTTTTTCAGATTCCAGTATTCATATCCTCACAGTACACTATATTGTGTGGTGTTTGGGGATCATGCTTTGACTTAAGATTTGAGATATTCCTGAATTCACCTATGAATTAGAAGTTTAAAGGTGGAGTGTCATAGCCAACCTCACATTGGAGTTATTGCCAGAAAAGAAGACAGATTTGACTGAAAATTAATACCTTAACCTTAAAGTAGAATTAATTAGCTAATGGACATATGTTACATTGCACTGAATAGAATTTTATCCTGGTAAAGACAATATAACTTTCCAGAAATATAGGTGTCTTCAGAGTGTGATTTTGAAAAGCTACACGCCACCAACTTTAAACTGGATCATTTCATTCTTAAAATCTTCATCAAATAATGAACAAAGGCAGTTTTTAGAAAATTTAGGAGTGAGTTCATAGACTAGAGAGTTATTAAGACCTGGAGATTTAAAATTCTTATTTTAATAAGTAACCTGAGATACCAGGTTATAACAATATGATTTTCAGAAACATATATACACTAAATTTATCAAATATTCTTAAAAATACCTTGGAGTAATTTGCTCAAGAGGCTGTGAAGGAACACCAACTATTGCAAGAGTATCCTTTCCTTCTCTGTATGTGTGTGAGTATATTGTGCTCTCATGCCCTCACGCACGCTCGCGAGCTCTTTTTTCCCTTGATGTCTGACTCTCCTTTCTCCAACCCAAATAATGATTAAAAGAAAAAAAGCTTTCTCTAATTTTTTCTTTCTCTAATTCTCTCATTTGAGAATGTTTTAGAACAATAATTATGTTAGCTTTTATAGCTATCTTAGTGAAGAGGTGCAAATATTTCCATTTTTATAATAAAAAAATACATTCAACAAGAGCAAAGAACTTACTTTAAATTCCATAGCAAGTCCAAAGCAAGGAAAATATCCATATATTGCCATAGAAAACTAGCTATATACAGCCAACAGAGCTGCTTGTTATGGTTTGAATGGAAGGTATATGGTGAGATTGGTATCCCCTGGGGAAGGCTGTCTGTCTGCCCAGATGCATCACCACATTCTAGACACTTATCTTCAACTTGATAATTTGAATGTTAGTATATCCAGAAGTGATTGGACTTGGTTGTGTGTGTGTGTATATATATATATATGTAGGGAGGACCAACTCACATGTTAATCAAACTCACCAGTGACTGAAGTATAAAATCCATATGTCACTTTGTTAATTTATAATGAGAAATACCATCCTGAGGAAGACCAGATACTCAGGTTCACTGATCAGTGCAGTGTTCCCTGTAAGATACCTCTTATTTGAAGACAAAAGTAGAAGCAGAATACTATGTGGTGGATATATGAAAATAACAGAAGGAATAGGTGATCGTAGTAAAATGTTTTCTAGTAAATAAGTCTGAAGCATTGTTTTCCTCTTTAGAGAGATCCTTGTTTATGGTCGGGATGCTTTCTACTTTGGTATTGCTAGAGTTGCACTAAAAATGTTTGCCTCCATGGTTCTTTTTCCTTGCTTTTGTTATTGACCATCTGCCTGCTCATTCACCCCTTCAGTTGGGCTACTATCTACTCTTTGTCAGTCCGCCCTTTCTCTCTTTAAGGAGACTTACACTGGTTATGTATATTATTGTTCCATTATGAGAGGGAGGGGATGGGGTCAACAATTTCAATGTTGCCTTCTTCTATTGCCTACATGTATAATCTTTATACTTTTTAGGTACCGGGAAGCCAGTGTGGAAGTGATGGAGGTAATGTCTCGTTTTGCTGGGATTGAACGTGCCAGCATTGATGAGGCTTTTCTAGACCTGACCAGTGTTGTACGAGAGAGACTACAAAAGCTACAAGGTCAGCCTATCTCAGCAGACTTGTTGCCAAGCACGTTCATTGAAGGGTTGCCCCAAGGCCCTACAACAGCAGAAGGGACTGTTGAGAAAGGTACTTCCATAGCATCATATTGCTTCTGCTTCCTGCCTTTGGAACCTGCTTTGCTTGGTCACGCTGACCTTTCTTGGATTGATTGAAAGGAAACTTAGACTTCAACCTGAATGAATCACAAAGACTCACATGGAAGGATATACAAATTCTCTTATCTTTCCAGGTATATTGATATTGAGAAGCTGTGAAATCTGTATGAAATCAAGTTTCTCTTCGATATAACTAGGGCAGATTAGAGTTATCAATAGAAGCCTGATGAGCACTTCCATCATTTGTAGGTTAATTTGTATTATTGTAACTTGGTTTCTTCATCGTAAGAAGGGTGAGCTTTTTTAAGGGGGAACTTCAAATAGAGGGAGTTGAATTTCTAATCAGTTCTTACACAATATCATCAATGGGCTCTGCAAGGCCTCTCTCATTTTATTTTACTTATTTTTACTTCTTTTCCCCTTCATAGTGATTCCCCCTACTCCCTCTACCCTCCCACCCCTCACACCCTCTAGCACCCACTGATATATTTGGTGTATCTTCTTAAATATGTATATGTCTTTATAAATTATATAGTGTTGCTTGTATATGTGCTTTTTATCTTTTTTTATTTCTTTTATTTTTGGTGAGGAAGCTTGTCCATGAGCTAACATCTGTTGCCAATCTTCCTCTTTTTGCTGAGAAAGATTGGCTCTGAACAAACATCTGTGCCCATCTTCCTCTATTTTGTATATGGGACGCCTTCACAGCATGGCTTGATGAGTGGTGCATTGGTCTGCACCTGGGATCCGAACCCTCGAACCCCAGGCCGCTGTAGCGGAGCGTGCAAACCCAACTACTATGCCACCCGGTGGCCCCTGTATATGTGCTTTTTAAATTTGTGCTTTTTTTGAGGAAGATTAGCCCTAAGCTAACATCTGTTGCCAATCCTCCTCTTTTTGCTGAGGAAGATTGGCTCTGGGCTAACATCCATGCCCATGTTCCTCTACTTTATATGGGACGCTGCCACAGCGTGGCTTGACAAGCAGTGTGTCGGTCTGTGCCCGAGATCTGAACCTGTGAACCCTGGGCTGCTGAAATGGAGCGTTTGAACTTAACCACTATGCCACCAGGCCAGCCCCTTAAATGTGTGCTTTTTAATTACAAGATAGTATTGTATTATAGATCTCATTCTTTTTCTTAATTTTCTTTCAATGGTGATTTTACAGATCTATCCATGTAGGTGTATTTATGTGTAATTGATTGCTTTTAATTGCAGCATAATCCATGATATGGACCTTCCATGTTTACAGACCATTCTCCTAGCAATGAACTCATTTGTTGTTTCTAACTTCCTACTATTTATATGATGAATGTCCTCATTCATTGTCTTTTGGACCAATGCAAGGGTTTCTCCAGGAAATGTTTTCAGGAGTGGACTGCTAGGTCATAGGATATACACATATACTTAGTTTCACTAAATACTGCCAAATTGCTCACCAGAATGGCTGTAACAGTTTAACCTCCCCGTGGGCAGTTCATAAGAATTCCCATTTCCCGCTTATCCTCACCAGCAATTGGTATTATCTAATGTTTAAAAATATTTGCCAATGTGATGGCTATAACGTGGTATTTTGTATTTTTGGTTTGTTTTAATTTACATTTCTCTATTTACTAATTGAGGTTGAGCATCTCTTTATATACTTGTTAGCCAATTGAGTTTCTACTTTTGTAAATTGCTTATTTATAATCTTTACCCAATTTTCCATTGAATTTCCTGCCTTTTTTTTTGTAAGAGTTCCTTATATATCCTAGTATTAGTCCCTTGTCTATTTTTGACATTGCAAATATCTTCTCCCAAGTCTGTCATCCATTGACTTTGTTTACGTTGTACTTTGCTGAACAAAATTCTTTTAGTCTATCAGTTTTTCACCTTATGGCTTGTGCATTTTTTTGTGTGTGTGTGTGAGGAAGATCAGCCCTGAGCTAACATCTGCCAATCCTTCCTCTTTTTGCTGAGGAAGACTGGCCCTGGGCTAACATCCGTGCCCATCTTCCTCCACTTTATATGGGATGCCACCACAGCATGGCTTGACAAGCGGTGCGTTGGTGTGCGCCCGGGATCCGAACTGGCGAACCCCAGGCCACCGCAGCGGAGCGTGCGCACTTAACCACTTGCGCCACCAGGCTGGCCCCATGGCTTGTGCATTTTGAATCTCATTTTAGACATTCATTTCTACTACCAGAAGTTCACAAAGACATTTTTCTGCATTTTATTCTATTTGCCTTATAGTTTATTTTTAGATATTTCAACCATATGGAGTTCACCTTTTTATTTGATTTAAGGTAGGGAGCCACCTTAATTATTATTCTTATAGTGAGCCAGTTTTCCCAACAATTATTTATTAAACCCTCCATTATTTCTCAACTTCCTATATGTAAGTGGGTCTGTTTCTGTAGTGACCCATTAGTCTGTCTGCTTCTACTCCAGAAATATTGTTTTTATTACTGTTTGTAGTATGTCATAATATTTGATAAGGACTCCCCTCTGCTTTTTTTTTTTTTTCAAAATTATCTTAGCTGTTTGTGCACCTTTATTGTTCAGTATGCATTTTAGAATACATCAGTTGAATTCCTCAAAAACTCCTGATGGAAATTACATTGACTTTACATATTTAGAGAGGATAGTTATCTTAATGTTAAATTATCTCATCTATAAACATATCATAGCTCACCAATTTTTAGGTCTTCATTTATGTCCCTTTTAGTGATTTTTTTTTAAGTTAAAATTTTTGATTTGTCTGTTGTAATATTTCTGCTTCTTCTGAGGTGTTGAATCCAGTATATTTTCCTTTTTCTTTCTCATCTAAACTTCTAATTATAATATATAGAATTATGTAATATATATAATATATATAAAGTATACTGATTGTAAGTGTACATCTTGACTAATTTTCATAAAGTAAACCCCTTCTGTAAGCAGCACCCAGATCAAAAAACAACATCAGAACTCTAGAAGCCTACTTTGCTACCCTTCCAGTCACTATCCATCCGTCTCTTGCCTCTCCTACAGTAACCACTGTTCTGATTTCTATTTAGCTTATTTTTAAACTTTATAAAATTGAAGTCATGCAGTATATACTCGAGTCTGCCTTCATTCACTCAACATTGTCTTTGTGAGATTCATCCATTCTGTGTATGTAGTTGAGTTTGTTTACTGTCATTGCTGTGTAGTATTCCATTATATGAATATACCACAATTTATCCATTTTACTATTGATGAATATTTGGGTTATTTCCAGTTTGGGGCTATTAAAACTAGTTCTGCTATGAACATTCTTGTAAATATCTTTTGGTGAACAAATGTATGCATTTCTGTTGGGTATGTGACTAGAAGTGCTCATTGTAGGGTTTGCCTATATTCAGCTTTAATTTGCCTATAGTCAGCTTTAGTAGATACTTCCAAACAGTTTTCCAAAATGGTTGTACCAATTCATAATCTCACTAGCAGCATATGAGAGTTCCAGTTGTTCCACATCCTTGTCAACACTTGCTTTTTTCTTTTTTTTCATTTTAGCCATTTTGATGGATGTGATAAAACCACATTGTGGATTTAGTTTGCATGTCCCTGTTGTTAATGAAATAGAGCACCTTTTTGTAAGTTTATGGACCATTTATATATCTTCTTTTATGAAGTGCCTGTTTAAGTCTTTTGTACATTTTTTGGTTGGATTGTCTTATTCATCTGTAAGACTTCTTTATATATTCTGGATATGGGTCCTTTATCAAATATATGTACTGCAAATATATTCCAGTCTGTGGCTTTTTTTTCACCCTCTTAATGGTGGCTTTTGATGAACAGAGGTTCTTAATTTTAATTTGGTCCAATTTATCTTTTTTTATGGATAGTATTTTTTATGTCCTGCTTAAGAAATCTTTACCTACCTCAAGGTCATGAACAAATTCTTCTGTCTTATTCTAGAAGCTTTATTGTTTTGCCTTTTACATTTAGATTTAAAATCCATTGTGTGTGTGTGTCTGTAGGGTGTGAGGTAGGGATCAAGATTCCTTTTTTTATTATATGAGTATCCAATTATTATATCTTATTAAAGCTTTACTTTTTTTCTATATAAAGGTCTTGTGCATTCATTTGTTATGTTAGCTCCTAGATGCTTTAATTTTTTTATTGCTATTGTGATTTTACATTTTTTTCTGTTGTATTTTCTCCTTGACTATTGATGTGTAGGGGAATGATGTAATTTTTTCATAAGTTCATCTTTATTTATCTACCTGTCAAAAACTTGTGATATAATCTGCATGAAAGTGCTTTAATAAATAAAATGTACTTGATGGTTAAAAATATTTTCTTATGGGCTGGCCCCGTGGCTTAGCGGTTAAGTGCGCGCGCTCCACTACCGGAGGCCTGGGTTCGGATCCTGGGTGCACACCGACGCACTGCTTCTCCAGCCATGCTGAGGCCCCGTCCCACATACAGCAACTAGAAGGAAGTGCAGCTATGACACAACTATCTACTGGGGCTTTGGGGGAAAAAATAAATTAAAAAAAAATTAAAAAAAAAAAAAGTATTTTCTTAGACTAGAATAAAATTAGGGCAATAAAATCTTGCTTTTGTGTTAATATTAGATTATGATAGTTCTGGGTAACCAGAGCTAAGAGAATCTGGGTCTTATATTTTTTTAATCAAATATTATGAAAGTGGAACTCACCTGGATCTCCCAGAACAAATAATTCTGCATCTAGAGGTTTTTCAACAGGGTGTCTACACTTTTTTTCTAGACATTTTTCTAGTACTTTTGATAATGGCTATATTCAAAACACTGTATCTATTTTCCCCTTCATTTGTAACATGTACTTTTAGAACTATTATTTTGTAACATTATTCAGAAGAGCTCTTTCAGTAAAAAACTTAGAATGTTGGACATTAACAAAAAGGAAACTGGATACAAATCTATAGTAAGTTAGCTTCTTGGGGGGAACTGTAAGCCAATTTGTTATTACTTGTAAAAACTATA